AAAAAAAAAAAAAGCACAAAAAACCTTTCTTACTTTCCACTGCCTAAAATGATTTTTTTTAATGAAATCATTCCCCATAAACATCTTGGACTTAGACCGAAAAAAAATACCAATGGCTGTTGGCTTCTAAAGTTCTTGTTATGTGGGGAAATTGGCTAAAACAATATGTATAATTTAATGACCTTTCCACCAGGCACTTTACATATGCTATCTCATTTAATGTACCCTCAACACAAACCTAGGAGTTACTAGGAGTTACTAGAAAGGAGGGGCTAAGGCACAGATAGTTTACGACCGGAGGAGACACTATTGTGCCCACCCAGCCTCCATCCTCTTGTTTTTCTTTCCCAACAGATTCAATTGGGCTCACGTATCCATGCCCACCGCACCACCTGGTCAAAGAGACAGTGGTGGAAGTGATGAGACATGGTTGAATTCTAGACATATTTTGAAGATATAACCAAAAGGCTATGTGAGGGACTGGCTGTCAAGTGTGAGAGAAAGAAAGGAGTTAAGGATGAGATGGGGCTTGGAAAAGTGTTGGGTACACTGGAGGACTTCATACAAATACAAAAGTATATGTTTTAGGATTAAGAAATGTTAACTTCCTCTTTCATTGTGGCCTCTACCTGCCATCGTGTATAGAGACCCTCTTTGGCTGGAGAAAGTTTTTTCCTGTCAGCCAGGTTTCCTCTTTGCCATTTCTCCAGTTAGTGTGTGAAGACCCAGGGGGGTGCAAATTGATCTCTAGGGAAGGATATGCCAAAAATAACCATGAGTCTCCTTCCCCAAATTAAACTAAACATAAATCAGTTTTTAATCCAACCGTGCACCTGACGTCAGCGATCAAGGGCCAGCTGTATAAACAAACTTCTTCTCCACAGCTCACAGCAAGCAGGGAAGGCTGACGGTCTTCATGCTTCTTCCCTGACTCCCCTAGAATGGATGTGTGTGGCTGGAAAGAAATGGAGGTCGCTCTGGTCGATTTTGATAACTCAGATGAAATCCAGGAACAGCAAGACTATGCCACAGACTTCGACCCAAGCAGCCCAAACGGCCAGCCTGGGAGCAGCCCCTTCTCCAACTGGAGTGTCCTCGTCAGCGACAGCACCAACCATGAGACGACCTTCTCCAAGCTCCCAGGAGACTTCATCAATCCCCCAGGGCCTGATCCAGTGGTTATGAGTGAAGGAAACCAGCGGGTGATCATCAACATTGCGGGGCTGAGGTTCGAGACCCAGCTCAGAACCCTCAATCAGTTCCCAGAGACCCTTCTGGGAGATCGGGAGAAAAGAATGCAGTTCTTCGACTCCATGAGAAACGAGTATTTCTTTGACAGGAACCGGCCCAGTTTTGACGGAATCCTATATTATTACCAATCTGGTGGGAAAATCAGGCGCCCAGCGAATGTCCCCATCGATGTCTTTGCTGATGAGATCACCTTCTATGAGCTGGGGGGTGAGGCCATGGACCAGTTCCGGGAAGATGAAGGCTTCCTCAAAGACCCGGAAACACCGCTCCCCACCAATGACTTTCACCGGCAGTTCTGGCTCCTCTTTGAGTACCCCGAGAGCTCCAGTGCTGCCCGTGGCGTGGCCACGGTCTCGGTGTTGGTGGTGATCATCTCTATCACCATCTTCTGCCTGGAGACACTCCCCGAGTTCCGGGACGATAGGGACCTGAAGGTGATGAGAGACCCCAGCTACAACACGAGCAAGACCGTCCTCACCCACACCATGTTCACTGACCCTTTCTTCATGGTGGAGTCCACCTGCATCGTGTGGTTCACCTTCGAACTGGTGCTCCGGTTCGTGGTCTGCCCCAGCAAGACTGACTTCTTCAAGAACATCATGAACATTATCGACATCATCTCCATCATCCCCTACTTTGCAACCGTCATCACAGAGCTGGTCCAGGAGACGGAGTCGAGCACCCAGCAGAACATGTCCCTGGCCACCCTGAGGATCATCCGGCTGGTGCGGGTCTTCCGCATCTTCAAGCTCTCCCGCCATTCCAAGGGGCTGCAGATCCTGGGGCAGACGCTGAAGGCTTCCATGCAGGAGCTGGGGCTGCTCATCTTCTTCCTCTTCGTTGGTGTCATCCTCTTCTCCAGTGCCGTCTACTTTGCTGAGGTGGACGAGCCAGAGTCCCATTTCTCTAGCATTCCTGATGGCTTCTGGTGGGCAGTGGTCACCATGACAACTGTGGGCTACGGGGACATGTGCCCGACCACCGCAGGGGGGAAGATTGTGGGCATTCTGTGTGCCATCGCAGGGGTCCTTACCATTGCCCTCCCTGTGCCTGTCATTGTCTCCAACTTTAACTACTTCTACCATCGGGAGACTGAGAATGAGGAGAAGCAAAACATCCCAAGAGAAATCAACAGAATCCTCAAAAGTACGGATTCAAGAACGGGCAGCACAGACTCTCTTAATAAAACCAATGGTGGCTGCTCTGCAGAGAAGTCCAGGAAGTGATCTGTCCAGGGCTCCTCGACTTCCAGTGACTCTCTCCCCTTCTCCCTCCTCCACCTTTCTCTCTCTCCCCCTCCCCCTGCCTCTTGCTCTCTGTTTTTCCAAAGACCAAAATTTATCTTTTGTGACCAACAGGACATCTTTGGCTGCAAGCTGTTTTAATAAACTCGTACTCTTGCTGTATTCTCTAAGCTGTTTCCTTTCAACTGACGACAGGAAGACTTCACTCTCCTTTCCTAGTTCAGGTCCTTGCAACTCACCTGTGGTCCCAAGACCAGCAGTATTGGCATCACCTATGAGCAAGGAGCTGTAGAGTCCAGGCCCAGCCCAGACCTACTGACTCAGAATCTGCACTTTAACAAGATCACAGGTGATTCATTTTTCACATTAAAGATGATGAAGAAGCACTGGCTTTGGTGTCCCTTAGGGAAAGCATATTAAAAGACCAGAGATTGCTATGAGCAATGAATAAGAGCTCAGAGCTGTTTAATAATAATACCTTACCTTTTTTTTTTTTTTTTTTAGCTGAGCCATCCTGCCACCTGTTGGCAGCTCAGCAGCAGCTCAGCTCAGGCTGGGAATTGAACCAACGACCCTGTTGCTCAGAGCTCGCACTCTTGAGCGAGCTCTTAACCAACTGAGCCACTCGGCCGGCCCTAATAGTACCTTACCCTTGCGTGGCATTGCTTCCATTTTCCAAAGCTTTTCCCCCTACATTATCTCACTGCATCTCAGAATAACTAGTAGAAGAGATTTGATTATTATTCCCATAATAATCATGCAAATGAACAAATTAGGGGACAGTCACTGACCAAAGGTAACCCAGAAACAGTGACACATTCAATGCTGGGACCCAAATCTCCTACCTACTAGTCTAGTGTTCTTTCCTCTAGTGGGTGTGATGGAATAGGGTGGGGAGGGAGTGAGGGGCTTGAGGGCTTTGTCTTTCAGAGGATTCAGGCAGCAAAGCTGTGGGGAGGAACGCTCTTTCCTGAGGGTTTGCCTCATCTCCTCGCAGCCTGGGAAGGCTCTAAGACAACCTCCCAGGCACAGAGCTGCCCATGCAGTGTGGAGCCACTGCTGTCCAAGACACTGCTCCCATGGGCTCCCCTGCCCTGTTATCCCAGCTCGGTCAGCAGCTCGTCCCCTGATGGCACTGCCCAGCTCTCACTCTGCTCTGGACGTAGTCCCTTCCCCACAACTGGCTCAGATGCTCTCTGAGGATGCACAAGCTGGTACAGGAATATATGAGGCAGAATGCTTTGTGTTGCAGGTGGCATTGGCTCACGTGATTGAGACATGCCGGAGGAGAGCTGCTTGTAGGCCCCCTGAGTCTGGGGACTCAAACATCCCCTTCAAAGCTCTTGTCACCTCAGTCCATCTGCCTTCTCTGCTTGCCTCTGCTGGATGGCATTCATGCCCCTTGAGTCAAAGGGCGTGGACCATGACAGCCCCAGGTCACAGCCTATCTTCATCTAACCAAACCAAACAAAACTACAGAGGGTGCCAAAAAAATATATACACTTTAAGAAAGAAAAAAACTGTATTAAAATTGTAATAATACATACCGATAACAAAAGATGAGTACAAGTCATGTGTATATATATTTTTGGCACTTCTGGTATACATGCATACATATATATATAGGCACACACATATGTAATCACCTTTGTACCTAACAGTTTGTCTATAATTCCTCACAAAAACGTTAGATCCAAAAAGGTAGGGACTTTTCTCTGTCTGGTCCATTGCTATATTCCCAGGATCTATCACAGCACATAGTAGGTATACCCAATAAATATTTGTTGACTTAATGAATTGTCCCTTCAAGAGCTCCCTCCCAATTACCCTAAAAAAAAAACAAAATAAACCCCTCTATAGGACTGGTGAGATTTTATTCTCCCTCACCTTCACTCTCCCCTAAACCCTAGGCCTACAGGCTACGGCTAGACACTCCCTAAGAGGAAGGATGCGTGCAGGGGACCCTTGAAGGTATTAAGGGGGTAGGCTCTGAGGCCTGGAATGCAGCTGGTGGAAGGGCTCGGGGGAGGCCTGGCCTAGAGGGCTTGCATGCTCCCAGTGCCCTACCCTGGGACTGCCCTGCCTGGCAGAGGCTTAGAGGAAGGCAAGGAGAGCAGGAACCCCCTCACTTAAACCCCCACTCAGAAGGTCTCTCAGAACCCCCCACTCAGAAGGTCTCTCAGAAGGCCTTGCCTCGGACCCCTTCACAAGCTTTCCAGTGGATCACCTGAGCCTTCAAAAGGCAGCCCTTCTCAACAAGCATCCTGAAAGCCCGGTCTCCCGAGGCAGTTTGGGTTTCTCCCCTCATGCCCTGACTCTGCCGAGACCATGCAATGACTCAGCCTGGCTCCACCTCAGCAGGTCCCTGCTCCTGTGGGAGTCCTGCCCAGGCCACCTCCACTCCAGCTGCCAAGGAAAGAGTGTGATCCTTCCCCCAGGGACAAGGCCCCACCCCAGCCCCTCCCCCATGTCCACACTTTACCCCCTATTCCTCTTTATTAGAATCCTGGGGCTGGAAGGGGACACCCAAGGGGCCCCTGCCCCCCTCAGCAGCTGATTCCAGCCTCCTAAAAACTAAAATGCATTCACCCCCTGGAGTGGAGTACTCCAAAGGCCCTTTGAAGCTGGAGGAAGAAAGCCACCCTGGTCTCCCCAGAGAACCACTGTGTCGCCTGGCGGCACATCCTACAGACAGGAGAATGTCCGCCCTCAAATGCAGGATGAAAAAGAACAGGGGGTGGTAGGGAGCTGGGGAGCTGGGTAAAGGGAAGATCAGACAAACTTTTGTTATTGCATCTCAGGGGAAGCGGAGGTAAAATGCCGCCTGCGAAATGTCACCAGATAATGAATGCTATTTCACTCCGTTGCTGAGGTGTCTGTCAGATGCATGTGGAGAGAATGACAGCCAACCTCATTAGGAATTTTGGGTGGATCTTCTGTTCTTCTGAACCAGAAGGGCCATGGCTGAGCCCCCTCCTTCCCACCACCACTGTACTGCCTTATTGCTAACAGAAATAACACACAAAAATATAACAGGAAAAAATAAATATAATAATAAACAACTCCAAGCTCGTAAGGTTATTGTGGAAACTAAATAAGATAATATATGAAATTCCTTAGCAAAGGTAAAACATGCTGTACAAAATAGGATGGAGACAGATGATGCCTAGGATAAGAACTCACTCGCAGCTGCAAGAGCCATGGCTGTGGCTTTTTAATGCCATAATCTCAGCCCCGTGTCTGGTGCATAACAGGTGCTCAACAAATGAAGGAAGGAAAAGAGTAACAAAAAGAGAGATCATGCAAAGATCAGATAGTGTCCCTTGAAAAGGGACAATAATTTACATCTATGTCATGCACTATTCTGAGATGCTCGATGTAAATGACATCCTAAGGCTCATGACACCCTATGAGGTAGAACCTACTATTAGCTGCATCTCATAGACAAGGCAATGCAGTCACTGAGCAGTCTAGTAACTTGCCCAATATGCTACAGCTAGCAAGTGGCCGAGCCAGGATTCAAACCCAGAGGCTTGGCTGCAGGTCTCGGCGTTTCTCCTCTGCCCCAAGCCACCTCTATTCAGTGCTGTCTCAGGAGAGCCATCATGGTCGTGGAGTCCTTCTTACTCCAATCCCACCTCCCATACACCACAGGTCCCAAGGTCACCTGACCATTCTGTCACCATTGCGAGGAAGCTCTGTGGAAATGCACATGCCCTCCAATTTTGCCCAGTGCTAATCCCATCTGGAAGACAGGAGCCAATCTGTCCAACTTTTTCTCCTCTGTGGTCAGCTCAGCATCAAGTTTGAAAACACCTTGTACCACCTCTGATCGTTCCCACATGGAATACCCTCACCTTATTTCTGCCTTTTGAAGTCCTCCCCATCCCTCCACACTCCGCTTCCTCCATGAAGCTTGTTCTGATCTCGCCTTGCCCGTGCCTCATCTACCTGTTCCCTCCACTGTGAGCTGGAGGGTGAGGTCTTGCCTGGCTCATCACCATAGCCTCAGAACCCCGATACTATATGCCCAGCACAGAGTCGATGTTCAGTTGTATTTGCTAAATTAAAAGTGTGATGACGCTGTTATTCTTTTTTTTTTTTAAAGATTTTTATTGGGGAATTCGGGGGATGGGAACAGTGCTGGGGAATTGGGGGAAGGGGAACAGACAAGTTGCTGTCGTTTTGTTCTTCAGTCTAGTTGTGGAGGATGTTGCTTCACTGGCCCAAGTTGGCACCATCATTGCGCTCTTCCCGGGCGAGGCACATCAGTCGCCAGCTTCTGGACGGCCGCTCACGGCGGCTGCTGGCTACACACGGTAGCCCATGGCAACCCACTGCAGCAGGGGCTGCAGCTACGCCGTCGCCGGCGACTCACAGCAGACCAGCTCCAGGTTGAGCTGTTGTTCAGCATCTTAGCTGTAGAGGGCAGTGTCACTGGCCCTCATATGTGGGATCTGAACCGTGGCCCTCTGGCGTCCCAAGCCAGTTCTTAACCATCGCGCCACTCGGCCAGCCCAACGCTGTTATTCTTTAGTGTTGAATAACACTTTACAGCATGCATTAGCTATCTATTGCCACATAACAAATTACCCTGAAACTTAGCAGCTTAAAACAACACACAATTATTATCTCACGTTTTCTGTGGGGCAGGGATCCAGGCAGCTTATCGGGGCCCTGGCTCAGGGTTTCTCATGAGGCTGCAATCAAGGTGTCAGCTGGTGCTGCAGTCACCTTAAGGCTTAACCAGGACCTTGCGGGGATCCCCTGGCATCAGTAGTCGCAGGTTTTAGAGGTAGTTCCTTTCTTCTCTTCCCCCACAGTTGTGCCCTTTCCCCAACTTAGACATCTGTAAGCCAAATACTTCCCTTCCCTTTGCAGAAACAGTGAGGCTTGGTGGGCAAGGCATGGGATTTGGAGGGGTCGGGGAGGGGAACGTGTCTGACTGTGATGTCTTAGCTTCTGTCCTCAGATCTCTGAGTTTTTTAAGGAGACCATCCTGCTATGGTTTGGAGGGAGGGGTACCGATGTTGGGGGTACTGGATGGTATTCTAATGACCTTGTCCTGCAGCAGACAAAGGGAAAGGTCACCCCGTGAGGATGAGGGCAAGGTGTGCCCTGAAGGAAGAGGATTCTTAGTGTCATTATCGAAAGAGCAGGGTCTTGGGCAGGCGGAGGGAAGCCCTTGCCCCTACTAGGACCTCCCTCTCTTGCATCTAGACCTCAAGAAGGGAAATTGC